GCATTGCGCCTCGTCAGGTTGTTCCTGGGAAGTGTGCGCCGACTTCTGCATGAGCGACCATTTCTTGATTGAAATCACCGTCTCTGCTTCAGGGGATGTTGAAGATGTAAGCTCGGCGCAGCCTCAGCTCCCGCGCCAGTGGCACATGCCCAGGCGTTGGGCAAGCTCTCTGATTAGGATTGCGCCTGCAGTTCGAGAACTGTGCAGCTTGGTGAGGTCTGCTCGAGATTGCTTGGAGCTTGAGGCCAGGGATTGTAGGAGGGTCTCTGGCCTTGCTTTTAGGCGTTGGGTTTTGGACTGCTTTTGCTGGGTCCATTGCTTTTTTGCCTCGGTTGCGCGGGATGGATGGGTCCACCCTACTTGCTCCCCTGCAGTGCCCTGCCACACATCCTCCCGAGTCCATATGTCTTCTCACACAGATGATTCTGCGCGAATTGTTGGTGAAGTTCAAAGCCTCCTCGCTGGAGGTAACCTCCCAGTGACCGTAGCCCAGAAGTGCTTTAAGTTCCTCCGGAAAAACAAGGTCCCTACACCGGTGTGCATGCGCAAGAATGGGGTGCTTCTCTCTCCCCTTGAGACACACAAGGAGTGGTGCAACAGACTGACATCACAGTGTTCTGGCCCTGTAATCCCTGATGCCAATGTACTTGCTAGCATGCGCCAGTCCGTAAGCTCCATGATGGGGCGAGCATGGAAGAAGTGCGGTCAGGGGCCTCTAGATAGGGACATTTCTGAGCCAGAGGTTCGTGCTGTTCTGTCGTCTTGGCAATCTTCAGCAGCAATGACGCCAGATTTAATTCCAAGGGCTGCGTTGCAAGCGGATCAAGAGGATTGGATTTGCCTAGTGTGGCTGCTGTGTCAGCTAGCAGGACCTGCCAGATGGGCTTTGCGCCCGTCTCTTTGGAGATGGTCGTGCTTAGGAACGGCTTTCAAGAAAGGCTCTGTGTCGGAATTCTCATCTTGGAGATTGCTCTTCGTCCGATCCCAAATGGGATTACTGCAGGAAGGTGTCTTGGCTCTGCAACTCAGACCTGCAATTTGGTCCCACCTCTTGGAAGGCCAGTCGGGGTACATCAGGTCCTCTGACGACCCAGTGTTTGCCTTAAGTGAGCTAAGACAACTAGCCGTTGCTTCCCAAAACCGCTGTGTGTTTGCACTCATGGGTGACTTTCAAAAGGCTTTTCCATCATGCTGGCGGGACGATATTATTCACTTAGCGGCCAAGTGCCCGCTTGTTTCTGGGGGCGTACTGCACCTCTTAGGAGATGTGTTGGCTTCTGATTTGGTTTCTGTTTTCTTCGGCGGGTTTTCGGTTCTTCCTGTTCTCGAAGGTCTGCCCGAAGGAGGTTGCTTGGGGCCCATTTTGTATCCCCTGATCCCAGACTCGCTGTCACAAATCATGGCTCGGGAGAAGTGCGGAGTTGCGATCCGCCCTGATCTGCCCGCAAATTGGGAATCCCATCGTTGGAGTGGGCAGGGGGTGCCCCAGCCTCACCTTGTAGCTTCATTACTCCACGATCTCAACACACGCAGGCACGTACCTGACAGCTCAGAGCTGCAAGCAGACCCAGACTTGGAGGCCTCTGCTGCTCGAGCCATTGATCTGAGGGACCAGAATCGCCTCTGCCTTCTCCTGCATGCAGATGACCCTGTTTTTCTAGCTTCATCTTGGGGAGAACTATGCAGAATGGTGCTCATGATTGAACGCTGGGCCCCTGCTCATGGAGCTCGTTTCCACATTTCGGATAATAAAACGCTTGTTTTTCGTTTAGGAGGTTTCGGACAGATGCAGCACATTTTCTTCCGCCCATCGCCGTCGGCCACTTGCGCGTCTCTTTCTCGAGGTTCTGGCCCACATAGATGGCTTGGCTGGATGTGGACTGAGGACGGCGGTGCTTTAGAAACCCTGCAGGCTCGGTTGCATGCTGCGTCTGGTGTTTTTTCCACGCTGGCGGGGCTTTGCTCGTCAAATGTCGTCCCCCTGCCCTTCGTCCTAAAGTTGTTTGAAGGGAAGGTGGATGCATGCATGAGGCCTGGTCGATGGCTTTTTGCTGTCCTGGCCACAGATGCTGCGCAGATACTCGATGATGCATACGCTCGTTGGGCTAGAATCCTGCTTGGTGTTCCAAGCTGGATGCCGGCTCATGCTGTTTTTTGGGAATTAGGTTGGTCTCTTTCTGGGATGGCGCGAGCAGTTTTGGATGTTGCGATGAGACGCGCACGTATGCAATGCTGGGATTCAGATGACCTTTTTCGTAGAATTTTTGATGCAGCCTCACATTCAGCCACAGATGATACTTGGAGCTCAAAGAGCCTCCGACTCCTCAGAGAGTGGGGAATTCGTGACTTTTGCGAAGGCAACATGCACTTGGGGATCCGTGAATACAAGCGATATGTCAAACATGTTTTGGAGGCTAGATGCTTGGAGAAGCACCAGTCCTGCATTCAGTCTTCTACATGTTTTTTGTCGTGGCGGGTCATTTATCCCAAGCTGGCCCCACACGACCTGCTTGCTTCAATCCTGAAGCAGCCAATGTCGTGGAGCAGCTTGCTGGCTAGCAGAGCCTTGTGCCGTCTCAGGCTTAATCTTTTTCCTTTGGGGCATCGTCAGGGTTCTTTTTCTAAGGCCAGGGTTGTTAAGTGTATTGCCTGTGACAAATCTGTACAGGGGCCACTTGCCCATGTTCTCCTTTCTTGCGAAAGGTTTGCTGAGGCCCGTGGAGCTTTGGCATCATGCGAATGCCCTGCAGAAGGATCCGTTTCCGGGATCTTGTGCCTGCAGCCTGGACAGGAGGGGTTTGAGGAGCTTCTGGCTCTCGCACGTGAGGTTCAAGACTATGTGTTTGCATACTGGAGAGAAAGGTCTCGACCTCTCAGGATGCTGCTCCCATGACTGCCCCGGCCAAAAGCGTGTGCTGTTAAGCCGGACTGTTGAGACACGGGGCCTGCTTTTGCACGCTTCCATCCAGCAGTTCGATAGGGGTATGTTTCTCCCACGGTGTGGGCCAGGGAAACCAGCGAAACCAGCGTCTCGAGCTTAGGGTTTAGGATTTGGGGCATAGGTTTAGGATTTAGGGTTTAGGATGTAGGGTTTAAGATTTAGGGTTTAGGATTTAGGGTTTAGGGCCTAGGGTCCGTCTAGCCTGTCAGGAATGCACTGGCCAGTATGCCTGAATACCGTGCAGCCGCAGACGCAGCCTTCTGGCCATGAGAAAACCTGCAAGCCCTAAACCCTAAACTGCTAAACCCTAAGCCCTGAACGCAAAACCCTAAGCCCTAAGCCCTACACCCTAAACCTCAAACACCCTAAACCCTAAACACTCTAAACCCCAAACACCCTAAACCCTAAACACCCTAAACCCTAAACTTCCCTGAGCCCTAAACCCTAGACCCTAAACCCTAGACCCAAAGATTAAGCCCTAAACCCTAAACCCTACCCTAAAACCTAAGCCCTAATCCCTAAACCGCTAAACCCGAAACCCGAAACCCTAAACCCTAAACCCTAAAACCTAACCCTAAACCCTAAACCCAGGTGACAGCCATGAAGTATGGGTTGGGGTTGTATAGGGTATGAAACGGTATACATGGGGTCCCTTAAGCGCGCAGAGAAAGGGACCGTGCAACTCTCCTTCGAATGGCGTGGTTGGCGTAAATTCTGGGCTATATTCTGGGCCTTCGATGATGTGCCATTCCAGTTTCGGGGTTCCAAGATTCAAAAGCCCCTCGGAATGTAGATCAGCCCCCCCCCCCCATATGCTCCTTCTGCAGCTGGGTTGAGGGTTTTGGTTTCGGGTCTAGGGTTTAGGCTTTAGGGTTTGGGAGGGTTTCGGGTTTTGGGCTACTCATAGCTACACACCCTCCAAGAATGGTCCTCATAGCTACCCATGACCCTCCAAGTATCGTCCGCGCGAGGTCACGTACGCCTCGGTGATCAGCGCCTGCGAGAAGGCCTGCCAATGGGAAGTCGCGCTGTGCCTCTTCAGCGACACCCGGCTTGAATCGTAAAAGCCCGAAACCCCAAACCTCAAACCCCTGATACCTAAACCCTAAACACTAAACCCTAAACCCTGAACCCTGAACCCTAAACCCTAAACCCTAAACCCTAAACCCTAAACCCTAAACCCTAAACCCTACGGATGGAGTTTGTTTTTTTTTTTCATGGGGGGTGTCGCGACTTCCTGCTTTCGGAGCCTGTCGGGCTCCCACGTCCCTGCACCAAGGACATGCCGGGGCACCGTGTTCGGTGCCTCAGCTCTGTTTCAGCCGGTGCTGGGCCATCTGCGTGAGTTGAGGGTTTAGGGTTTAGGGTTTAGGGTTTAGGGTTTAGGGTTTAGGGTTTAGGGTTTAGGGTTTAGGGGGCCCCATATCCTATACCCTCATTCCGAGACCCTATAGCCCTAAACCTCAAGCCCTGTCGGCGCGTCACAAGTCGCGCTGCATCCCCGAAATCTCCTAAGGTCTAGGGAGCTTCGGTTGTAGGGTTTAGGGTTTAGGGTTTAGGGTTTAGGGTTCAGGGCCTAAACCCTAGAGACCCGGAACCCTGAACCCTCAACTTCCCCCAGCTGCGCAAGCTCCGGTTGGGGTGGAAGGTGCTTTCAACGCTGGGAGTCCCTTAAGCCCCTCAACTCCTTAAACCTCGTAAGCCCTAAACCCCTATTCTTTCCAACTTTAAACCCTAAACCTATACCCTCAACTGAACTCTTCTTACCCTAAACCCCTAAACCCTAAACCCCAAAACCCTACACCCTGAACCCGAAACCCTAAACCCGAAACCCTAAACCCTAAACCCTAAACCCTAAACCCTAAACCCCAAACCCTAAACCCTAAACCCTAAACCCTAGACCCTAGACCCTCAACCCTCAACCCTAAACCCTAAACCCTAAACCCTAAACCCCAAATGGGCCGAAGGCCGGATGCCGTGGCTTGCAGTGGGGCTTTGAGAGCCATCGCTGAGGGCCGGCAATGGGCCACGGCCTTTGGTCGCTCGGACGGCACGCAGGGGTTTAGGGTTTAGGGTTTAGGGTGTAGGGTTTAGGGTTTAGGGTTTAGGGTTTAGGGGTCTTAGAGTTTAGGGCTTCGGGTTTTAGGGTTTAGGGGTCTTAGAGTGTAGGGTTTCGGGTTTTGGAGTTTAGGGTTTAGGGTCGTTTAGGCTTTCGGGGTGCTTGTGGGGGTGGTTAGGGGTTCCGGGTTTTTTCCGGGTTTGGTTCTGCCGTTGACCATTGCCTGGATGGTCAGTCCCAAAATCAAGGGTACTTGCTGTTTGTAATTGGAGGTCCAGGTAGGTCGAGGTAGAGAAGGGCTTACAGTAGGCCTACGTGTTTGGGTGCGGATTTTGACAGGTTTGATGTTGCAAGGGGGCTTTGGGGGGCTGAACTTTCGCACGGGTTCAAGCGAATCGAAGGGAATGTGGAGGTGCGGCAGAGACTGGGCGAGATGATACTGACGTAAGTTGTGGCTTGGGTCAATTAGGGTATTTAGGGCTTGGGAGGAGGCTTCAACGAGAGCTGTTCAACACTGCACTGGAGGGAAGTACGGGAGTGGTGGGCTCAGCCCCGAGGTCTGAGTTTGCAAGTGACCGTTCATAGAAATCAGAGCCAGATTCTTCTCCCCAAACCTAGCCTCATGCGTTTACCCTCAAGCCCCTTGATTCCGAAACAGCAACTTAACCAGTTGGGTTTGTCTGGGTTCGAATTTTTTGCTGTGACCCTGATGGAGCCCTAACGAGCCCCAATAGCCCCAGACCGTCCCCCTTGAGCGCGTTTAATCACCTATACCCTAAACCCTCAACGCCTAAACCAAAAACCCTAAACCCTAAACCCTAAACCCTAAACCCTAAACCCTAAACCCTAAACCCTAAACCCTAAACCCTAAACCCTAAACCCCTGAGAGTCACCGCGACGCCCCGCAGAGGTCTCCTCTGGGAGCTCATCTCTTATATGGTCGAGGCCTAGGGTTCAGGGTTTAGGGTTTAGGGTTTAGGGTAGACTACTGCTGAACCCATGAACCTCCCAGTCCACTCGTAGGGTTAGAGGAGTGTGGGCACCCTATCAGGGCGCGATGCGCTGAACCGCTGGAAGCCCTAAAGCCCGCCGAAGCCCTACACCACACCTTAGCCCCAAAACCCCGAAACCCCAAATCCTAAACCCTATCCCTTGTAAACCCCAAACCCCAAACCCCAGACCCCAAACCCCAAACCCTAAACCCCAAACCCCAAACCCTAAACAACCCCCCCCCCCCCCACAACAAAAAAACAAAACAGAGGTGAACACCTTCGCCTTCAGCAGCACGTTGAAGTCGCTGGAAGGGTCCGGCCATTGGGACCTAGCGCTGCACACCTTGGAGGAGCCCAATTAGGGTCCTTCTAGCGGGGGCGTTCAGGGTTTAGGGTTTGGGGTTTGGGGTTTAGGGTTTAGGGTTTAATTAGGGGGGTTAGAGGTTCAGGGTTTCGGGGTTTAGGGTTTTAAGGTTTTTAGAGGTCGAAGGGTTGCGTTTCAGGCTTATGGCTTAGGGAGTTGTATGGGTTGGTGGTCTTCGGGGCCTAGGGGGTTAGGGGGGCTTAAGCGGCTTTTCGCGCCAGGCCAAATTCTGAACCCACGACGCCCACGACCGCGAACCCGAATCCAAAACAAGTGCGTACACCCTCAACGTTAACTGCATAGCCCTAAATCTGAAACACCTCCAGCAATCCAATAAAGCTCAGATGTATCCAGCCGACACTTCAGCACCTCTTTGCGAGGTTTCTAGGCACAGGCTTCAAAGGTGCTTTACTCATGCTGCTTAATCTTTTGAGGGCCTTGAAGGGTTCCAAGAGTTTCCTCCAGCTCCCCCGCGACCCCTGCCCCGCGACCCCTTCCCTGCTGCAAAGCCTGAGGAGATGGAGCAGTGGAGTTTGGGCAAAGACCTGGTGGGCTGCTGAGCAGTTTGGGGCTTGCGGGCTAGTCTTGCCTCAACCCTCAAGCGGCCTGGGTGCCCATGAAAGTAGCCCCCCTTAAACCCTGAAACCCTAAACCCAAAGCCGGGACCTGGTTCAACCCTAAACCCTAAGGACCCGCATAAACCCGCAAACCCTCATAAGGGTTTAGGGTTTAGGGCTTGTAACCTGCAATGTAGTCCGGTCTTTGGGTTGGGTTTAGGGCTTAGGGCTTAGGGCTTAGGGCTTCGGGCTTAGGGCTTAGTGTTTAGGGTTTAGGGTTCAGGGTTTAGGGTTTAGGGCCTTTCTAGCCATTCAGGTGAGCTACAATACGGCCATGACGGCGTGCGAGACGAGCGGCCAGTGGCAGGCGGCACTGGCATTAGTGCAGGCAGGGGGGAGAGGGGTGGGGTTTAGGGTGTGGGGTTTAGGGTTGAGGGTTTAGGGTTCAGGGTTTAGGGTTTAGGGCTCGGGGAATCTGAAGGGAACTTGTACTACGTAGAGTTGAAGACTTATACTAGGATTATATGGTAGGGTGCATAAGGTTTGCGCCCTCAGCCTACATAAACCTCAAGTTCAAGATGCCGGGATTGGACTTGTAGCCCGAAGCCCTGCAAAACATTGAACGCCAAACCCTAAATCGATTCCAAACAGGCTGGAGCCTAACCCCCTAAACGCTAACCCCCTAAAGCCTGTTAGGGCGAAGACTCTACTCCAGCCCAAGCCGCCTCAAAAAACGCCCCACTATTCAAATAGAGGGCAAGCGCCCCAGCCCATCAACACCCCATCCCCCTAAACCCTATAAACCCTAATAAACCCTCAACCCTAAACCCGCCTGAACCCTAAACCCTGCACCCTAGACCCTAAACCCTAAATCCGAGAGTCTCAGGCGCTGGTCAACTCGAGCGTGGCGCCAGACAAGTTCAGCTCGCTGGCTCCCGATTAAGGACTGCTAGTACAAGGGGGAACATCTCAACTCTCAGCCCTGAAGTCTTCCCTAAACCCTAAACCCTAAACCCTAAACCCTAAACCCTAAACCCTAAACCCTAAACCCTAAACCCTAAACCCTAAACCCTGAAGTCTCTCAGGCTACGGGGCTCTCCTGCGTGCAAGTGCTGCGGGGCTGCAGTGGCAGCTCTCTTGCGCTCTCCTCGCAGAAGAGAGGCTCGTGGTGGCTTTGTAGCTTTGCATTGTCGTCCTATAGGGTTTACCTAAAGGATCCCGAAGGCTCCTAATGTGGTGCCATTCTTGGTGTAGTATACTATAGCCCCTTCTAGCAAACCCAAAAGGAACTGCATCTCGGTAGCCCAGTCAGTGGTGCCCGTTTCCCTTTTACTGTTGGTTCTGGTTCCCTTATATGGGTTCTGGTTCCCTTATGAAGTAACCAACCAAACAGGGTGCCCTTATTATAATATGGTTACTGGGCTACTAAGACATTGGAGCCTTCAGGTAGAGTTGACGGGTTTCGGGCGTAGTGAGGAAGGATGAATCCTAAGCCCTAAGCCCTAAGCCCTAAACCCCAAACCCCAAACCCTAAACCCTAAACCCTAGACCCTAGACCCTAGACCCTAAACCCTAAACCCTAAACCCTAAACCCTAACGAACCTCCGAACGGCTCGGCAGAAGCCTGCGCAGCGACAACTACTGCTGCAGTGCGGCCATGGTGGCCTGTGCCGAATGCGAGGCACGCATAGACAGGGTTTAGGGTTTAGGGCCTAGGGTTTAGGGTTTCGGGTTTAGGGGCTAGGGTTTAGGGTTGAGGGTGGCCCTTTTGCGTTTATTCCAGCCCAGGGCTGAGCATGTATCCTGGTTGGGTATGACATGTCCCCCTCACCTTGTCCCTGCCTGGTAAACGGGCCGCTAAGATGCGAGGCTTTGTTGGGTGTGGGGGGTGGGGGTGTCCTTTTGCAAGCGATTCTATTCTGAACCTATAGCAAAGGGGATCCTATTTTGGAATCTCACCCATTTCATCCGAGTTGTTGCCGAGATGCATATGGTTTCCCACAGCTCTGGCACTGTACGCAGTATCGGGTCTGGGGCAGGCGACAGTAAAGCTGAACCCACAACCAACCCCAACCCGAGAAGCCTTTCAAACCCTAAACCCGCACAAACCTTTCCACCCAAAGCTCTGCGCCCAACCACACCTCACTCTTGCACAGCCTTCACCCGTCAATGCCCCGACCCAAAGCCCTAAACCCTAAAATCCAAAGTGGCAACCATCACATGACAGCCCCCCCCCCCCCCCCCCCCCCCCCCCCGCCGAACCTGAAGCCTCTATTGTTCAAACATCCCCATATGATGTATCCCCATATGATGTTCCTAGCTAACCTACCAGCCCTTTCCAAGCTCCGGCGCTGAAAACTCCACACCCTCAAGCCCCAAAACCCTACCAGGAGTGGTCTTCTGCGTTGGCTTTGCTCACAGAGCTGCGTCGTTCTGGTGCGAGCTTGGACAAGGCCCCCGCTGCCAGGTTTTCGTTTTGGACTGGCATATAATGTAGGGGCCTTAATCATTCGAACAGGGTTATGGGGCTTATTATATTTCATTATACTATATTAGATTATATTTTCTTATATTAGTTAAAAGTGACCATAAGGGAATACTACTAGTAATTGTTCCGACCCCTATATAACTCCAACTAGGATCCCTACCACAAGTCTTACAGGCGATTTCATTTTTTTGAAAAAAGTGATTTTTGTGTTTTCAAAAAGCGCTTTAATTTGCTATTTTCCTTTCTTGTTTGGAGTTGTTGCGTGGCCGCCTCAATCCCTCAACAGTTTAGGGTTTAGGGTTCACGGCCAGGGGGTTTTTAGGTTTTGTAACAACGCTGTCAATCCCCACCCCTCGGATGTCCAGTTGTACCCTTTCTTCCCCCTTTCTTCCCCTGTCATATATAGGCTCAGGCTCCCCTGATTAAACCCACTAAACAAAAGGGGGGAGGGGGCGCGCGTCGTATCAGGTAGCTTCTGTTGAAGCTACTTTGGAGGTTCATGGGGTGCTTGAAAAAAGTAGGTTTATGAGTGCCCAAAATGGGGTTAGAAGTATAGTTACCATACTGAGGACCCCACTTCCAGCAGCCCATGAACCCTCAAGCCTAAAACCCTAAACCCTACTTATAACTTCCCATGGACCTTCAGATACCACCTCAACGAGCATCAGCACAGGGCCTCCTGTCAGGTCAGCTACTCCGCAGCGATCGGTGCTTGCGGCCGAGGCCCGGCTTGGAGTGGGTTCGAAAGGGCTTGATGAGATGCCCAAAGACACAGGGCTTAGGGTTGAGGGTCACGTCGCTCTGTCTTGAATCCTAAGCCCGAAGTTCCTCAAAGCCCTCAGCGCAATGCCCCCAAAGCCTCTACCCTACAGCCTGAACTTCCCCAGCCCCAGAACCCTACTCTAAACTCTAAACCCCAAACCCGAACCCCCGAAACCCCAAACACTCAACCCTAAACACTAGACCCCAAAAACCCAAAACCCCAAACCCTGCCTACCATCCACGTCAAGGCTCCCTGTGGCGGCTGGCGGTGTCCCTTGTTGCCTCCATGCCGCCCGGGTGTTGTCTAGTTTTAGGGTTGAGGTTTAGGGTTTAGGGTGTGGGGGGTTTAGTTAGGGTGTTTGGGGTGTTTAGGGTGTGTTTTTGGGTATTTAAGGTGTTTGGGGCGTTTAGGGTTTTTAGGGTTTCGAGGTTTCGGGGCATGAAGGGGTTTAGGGGTCTGGGGATTGACAGGAAAAGGGGTTCACCGTTACGGCTTCCCCAGCCCGACCACCCAAAAACTTCCTGCGAGATCACCCCGTCCATACCGCCAGGTTCACTTTGTCATAGTTGGGTAACATTTTACATTTTTAAGGGTACTTAAACCCAATAAGGAATATAAATTTAACATTTTAATATTATCCCAACAATGAACAAGTTCAGGGGTACTTAACACAAGCAGGGTTCGAAGTGCCCTGCATGGGGTTGGAAGTACGGTTGTCATACTTCTATCCCTACTTCTTGCTGCGCATGAACTTCCAGGCAGGGCCCATCGGTGCGCGCACTCGTTTATCGGGGAGGGGCTTTGGGCGTTTTCAGTGGGGAGGGGGTTCAGGGCTTTGGGGTGTGGCCAGGGCTTTCCGAAGATAGTACCGTTTTGTGCGGAGCTCTTCATAAGGGTTAAAGCAGCTTACGGTTCCTGAAACCTCAAACCCAAAACCCAAAAGCCCAAACCCAAAACCCAAAACCCAAAACCCAAAACCCAAAACCCAAAACCCAAAACCCAAAACCCAAAACCCAAAACCCAAAACCCAAAACCCAAAACCCAAAACCCAAAACCCAAAACCCAAAACCCAAAATCCAAAATCCAAAACCCAAAACCCAAAACCCAAAACCCCGAACCCCAAACCCCAAACCCCAAACCCCAAACCCCAAACCCCAAAAGCCAAAACCCAAAACCCAAAACCCCAAACCCAAAACCCAAGCCCCGCTCCCTCACGCGGCGCTGAGAACCCAGGATGCGGAGGAAGCTGACTCCAGATGGGGTGCACGCGCCGCGGCTTAGGTGAGCAGCACTCTTTTTTTTGTTGTGGCTTAGGGTTTAGAGTTTAGGGTTTGGGGTTTAGGGTTGAGGGTTGAGGGTGTAGGGTACTGGGTGTAGAGTTGACGTGTGTCTTCAGGTCGGCGATGCCGTGAGCTGCGTGCGCCAGGCCCGTGGTGAAGACGCGGCGCTGGACTACTTGCGCCCTGGCCTGGCGTTAGGGCGTTTTGGCACAGGGTTTAGGGTCCGAAACCCTTAACCCCACACCCTACTGTAAAACCACTAAACCCGAAACCCTAAACCCCAAAGCCCTAAACCCGAACGCATTCAGGGTTCAGGGAGGTGGGTTGCGGGTTGAGCAGCCTTGGACGGCCCTGCAAACCTTAAGCCCAGGGTTTCGGGTTTAGAGTTTAGGGTTTAGGGTTTAGGGCTTAGGGTTTAGGGTTTAGGGCAACCCCTGAACCCTGAAGACCCTGAACCTTTCAGATGCCCAGGCTCACGCTGCGGCGCCCCTGGGGTGCCCTCTTGGACATGCCGTCGAGCCGGGCGGTTGTCAAGGCTCCAGTTTGCGCGTTGGGGTTTAGGGGTTTTTAGGTTTTTGTTTTTTGTTTAACGGTCTTTAGGGTTTTTGGGCTGTTGGGTTTTTAAGGTGTTTAGGGTTTTTAGGGTTTTTAGGTCTTTAGGGTTTTTAGGGTTTTCAGGGCGTTAAGAGTTTTTAGGGTTTATAGTAGGCCCAAGTCGAATACTTGGTAGCCCAGTGGCATCCTGTTGCTCTTTCTTAGGTTCCCTTGCAGAAAGTAAACCAGTCCCACAAAGATTTCCCGTTTTGTTGATATGGTTTTTGCGCGACCAAGAGCAGGATTTCGGAGGGCCATTCCCTTCTTGTGTTGGAGGGGGAGGCGAAGATCCCAAGAGTTTGCATGACCCTGAACCCTAAACCCTGAACCCTAGACCCTAAACCCTAAACCCTAAACCCTAAACCCTAAACCCTAAACCCTAAACCCTAAACCCTAAACCCTAAACCCTCAACCCTAAACCCTAAATGCCCTAAACCCTAACTCCTTCAGGGAGGGGTTTGTGCCCTTCGGGGTCTTGGGGGAGGGGTGAGTTGCCAGGAAGTCTTGGGCTCAAATGACCAAGAAATCAAAAAATGGTACCACCATTGGATGGCAGGGCTATGTAGAGATTCCCTAAACCCAAAACCCTAAACCCCTTAAACCCGAAACCCGAAAGCCTAAGCGAAGCACGGCCGGTGGTTGCCAGGGGGAGAGGTGATTTGGGTCGTGGTAGGAGGGAGGTTAGGGTTCAGGGTGCATCGTGTCTTCGGTGCTGAATGCTGGACCATATAACATTCTACAGAACTGACCATGTGGCACCCTGAACCCAAAAGCCCGCAAGCCATCCGGGTTTGGGTTTTAAGGTTTTGGGGGTCTAGTACTTTTTTTAACTCGAGGTCTGGGACTTCAAGGATTAGGATTAGGGTTTGGGGTTTCGGGTTTAGGGTTTGGGGTTTGGCAGGTTCCGTCCCTGGTTTGGGAGCCTCCGTTTCTGGCGGTGCTGAAGCTTGGCGTGCCTGGAATCCCGAGACCCTCATGAAGCCCTGAACCCTGCAAACTCGAAAGCCCTAAACCGCCCAAACCCTAGAGCCCTGAAACCCTAAGCCCTGAAACCCCAAGCCCTGAAACCCTAAACCTGAGCTTTAACTTCAGCCCTGACCAAGACCCTGCGTATGCCGTAAACCCTAAAACCCACAGCCCCCGAAACCCCGAAGTCGCACACCCGAAGCACCAAGGGCCGTCAGCGTCATGGCCGATGTCGGGTTCGGGGATTTAAGGTCTTCTTGGAGGTTCATGGGTAGTTTGAGGGATGTAGGGCTGCGCGCTGCAGTGTTGTGCTGAGCCGACACCTTGAGGAAGTTTCCTCTTGCTTGCCCACTCAACTAAGAAGCCCAGCAACACAAAATCCCAAGCCCTAGCTAGCCAAGCCCCGTTTTGGCATTAGAACCTGTATCCAAGGCAAAACACCTAGCTTCGTTCAGCACCCTTAAATAGGGTTGTAAGTATAGGTGCCGTGCTTATGGCCCTACTTATAACTATGTCCATGCGTCCTAAACTGAAACCCTGAACCCTCAGACTTGATCCCATGAACCCTAAACCCTAAACCCTAAACCCTAAACCCTAAACCCTAAACCCTAAACCCTAAACCCTAAACCCTAAACCTTTATGAGCTATAACACTCGACGCAACAAGGAAGCCTGCGGGCACGGCCACGGAGGCCCTGCGGCCGGAATCGGCACTTCTTGTTTTTTCTGTGGGTGGGGTTTTGGCTTGGGAGGGTTAAAGCGAGCGGTTTAGGCTGAGAGGGTTTAGGGTGAGAGGGTTTCGGGTGGGGGACTTTAGGGTGTAAGGCTGCAAGTTGCGCCTTATACCCAAAGCTCCCTGTACGGCAGTAGGGTCTTAGTCTTGGTTCAGGGGCCGGAAGCCCCAACAATTCTGAGCGCAAAGCCAGCAACTTTAACGGGGCTTTGGCCCGGAGAGGAACCCTTTGGCCTTATCAGGGCTTGGGTTTGCAGGGTCAGACTCCTACACTTGTAGCCTTTATAATTTTCATGTAAGGTAGGTACAAACCGACTTAGAGCTATGCATGAACCTCCAAGTAGGGATTGTAGGGCTTGTAGTGGGTTTCCTAGAATGCTCAGAAAGGGCATGCGTGTGAATGACCGAAGTCTCGCATCACCGACATGTGCGTGCAACATGGAAATGGCAACCGTTCGACAGTCGCGTGCTCGTCATGTTAGGCGTCACGCAGGATTTTGTTCATCCACTGTTAGTATAGAGTCTGGGGCAAACCCTCTGGCACCCCAACATCCCATAAACACCCTAGAGCCGTAAAGACCCTAAACCCTAAGCCCTAAACCCTAAACCCTAAATTATAAAGGCTACAAGTGTAGGAGTCTGACCCTGCAAACCCAAGCCCTGATAAGGCCAAAGGGTTCCTCTCCGGGCCAAAGCCCCGTTAAAGTTGCTGGCTTTGCGCTCAGAATTTTTGGGGCTTCCGGCCCCTGAACCAAGACTAAAACCCTACTGCCGTACAGGGAGCTTTGGGTATAAGGCGCAACTTGCAACCTTACACCCTAAACCCTCTCACCCGAAAGCTTCTCAACCCTCAACCCTCAACCCTACACCCTAAACCCTAAACCACCAAACGCCGACCCCAGGAGTTCCTCCGCCGGCTTGCGGTGGAACTTGCGCCCCCGGCCACGCCGCCCATGAGCATCGCCACGCCCTCCAGGCCTCGGACCCTAAACCGGCCTAAGCCCTGGGGGTTTAGGGTTTGGGGTTTGGGGTGTAGGGTTTAGGGTTTAGGGGTAAGGTCTGGAGGGTCTAGAGGGTCTTGAGGGTCTAGAGGCTTTAGGGCTTTAGGGGGTAGGGTCGCGTAGGGTTTCTGGTCTAGGGCTTAGGAGTTTAGAATAAACCCTCAACCCCTGGACCCTAAACTCTCCCGAACCCTAGCAGGGTTGGTTTAGGCCACAGTCTTGTCGCTTAGGGGTTTTAGGGTTTAGGGTGTCGTGCTTAGGGATTAGGGGGTCTGTGGCCTCCGCGTCGGGGGTTCCGAACCTGCCCCCCGAGCTCTCTTTGCATTCGTGTTTGGAATTTTTTGAGTTCGGGATTGTTATGGGGTGTAGGGTTTAAGGTTTCGGGTTTCGCGCCTTGCTTTGACACATGAGGGGATGATGAAACAACAAAAGGTATCAAGAAGGAAAAGAGGAGAGCGCCAAGCCTTAAACGCTAAACCCTACACCCCATAAACCCTAAACCCAATGTGCGAATGTCAATTTGGGGTCTCCCCAAACCCTAAACCCTAAACCCTAAACCCTAAACCCTAACCCTAAACCCTAAACCCTAAACCCTAATCCGAACTTGCGAGGCTGGACCATCCCACTTCCGGCGTGCTGCCTGTGGCCCTCGGCACGGGCGGTTCGTTTGCTCCAAACTGGCCACTTGCTCCACTGGTTAAGGGTAACCTTCAACCCTAAACCCTAAACCCTAAACCTCTCCTACTATATATATTTAAATGTTAAACCCCTTCGTCGGCAAGGCACAAGTCCTTCAAGTCATGTCTAGGGTTTAGGATTTTCACAGTTTTTCTCGAGTATTATGTCTAGGGTTTAGGACTTTCACAGTTTTTTTCGAGTTTTAGGTCTAGGGTTTAGGATTTTCACAGCTTTTTTTTGTTTCGGGTCTAGGGTTTAGGATGTTCACGGTTGTTTTTTCGAATTTTAGGTCTAGGGCTTAGGATTATGTCTAGGGTTTAGGATTTTCACAGTTTTTAGGTCTAGGGTTTAGGATTTTCACAGTGCTTTTTTAATTTATGTCTAGGGTTTAGGATTTTCACAGTTTTTTTTTTCGAGTTTTATGTCCCACGCATCGAGGCTCAAATATGGGAGTGCGAACTCGGTGACTTATTTCAAGTTTTATGTCCAGGGTTTAGGATTTTCACATTCTTTGGGAGCTTTATGTCTAGGGTTTAGGATTTCACAGTTTGTTTTTGGAGTTTTACGCTTAGAGAAGAAGGTGGTCGGATAATTTCCTAATGGTGTGGGACCCAATGGTCTGGTGGGTATTCTCCTGTGGCCTTGAAAGCTGCTCAGCTAGTGAATGCTTGGACCAGAGATGCTAAACCCTAAGCCCTAAACCCTAAACCCTAAACCCTAAACCCTAAACCCTAAACCCTAAACCCTAAACCCTAAACCCTAAACCCTAAACCCTAAACCCTAAACCCTAAACCCTAAACCCTAAACGCCCAAGATTGGTAGGACTCAGGGTTGCGCTCGCAAGACTTGGAGGTGCCGAAACCAAACGCCTGATTCCACCCACCAGCAGTGCTTACAGTGAACCCCAAAAAGTTGGAAACCTTTTGGAGGACAAATCGTGCTGGGATTCCCTATACTTTACTCTTAGGGATTGAGGCTATTGGGTTTCCAACTTTTTGGCTTCTACTGTATGGTTTTTTGGGAGCACTACATTTCTGACCTGACAACCCGGTAGATAATTAATGTTTCACAGTTCCTTATTGCGGGGTCAAATGGGTGGACCAGGGAGTGGGGATCAAGGGGGGTATAGAACCCAAGGCTCCTTATACTCCCCGCCACTCCCTGAGGCCCCTAAGCTTCCCTAAGGTTCCCTGAGTAGCTACTTCCCATGAACCACCCTCCATTAAGAACTCTATAACTTTAGGAGTTCTGAGTACTCTGTCTGGGGTTAGAGAATCAACCTAGCAGCAGTGCTATGAAGGAAGCCCTTCCAGAGCCGGAAATCCAGAGTTCTGAGTCAACGCGGTTTGAATGACAGCTACACCCTAAACCCCAAACCCCAAGCCCTAAACCCTAAACCCTAAACCCTAAACCCTAAACCCCTCAACCCCTCGACCTCTACAGCAACGACCCCTCCCTGAGCGAGGCTCATCAGCCAATTCGCTGCAAGGCTGGTCAAGAAGGACTGACATGAGACATGGGTTTTCTCAACATAGGGTTTAGGGTTTAGGGTTTAGGGTTTAGGGTTTAGGGTTTAGGGTTTAGGGTTTAGGGTTTAGGGTTTAGGGTTTAGGGTTTTCTGAAAGTAGGTTAGTAGGGAAAGAGGTACCCTATATCCCCCTATACATACCCTTTGCGGGATTATATAGGGTACTTCATTCCGTTATTCCCTACTAACCAACAGTAAGTTTTCTGAACATAGGGCTTGGGGTGTAGGGCTGCGGGTTGTGGATCCTAATGACACCCCTAATCCTTGACATCTGAGACGCCCTGTGAGCCCTTGTTGTCTAAACCCTAAACCCTAAACCCTAACCCCTAAGCCCTAAACCCTACACCCTACTCCCTAAACCCTAAGCCTTTGAACCCTAAACCCTAAACCCTAAACCCTAAACCCTAAACCCTAAATCCATGGACGCCTTGCGAAGGAGTACGTCTGCCTCTGCGAAGGACCAGAGCTGGGGGAGGTGGGCGAGGTGGGGTCCATCTCAACGCCGCTGCTCACAGAGGAGAGGGCTAGGGCTGCCAGGGTTTAGGGTTGAGGGTCGAGGGTTTAGGGTTTAGGGCTTAGGGTTTAGAGTTTAGGGGTAAAGGTTTAGGGGTTAGGGTTTAGTTTGGGGTTCAGGGTTTCGAGAGACCGGGGTGCAGGGACTTAGTAGGGACCCCACAAAACCCTCGAGCAGGTGTTCTGAAGGGCCTTGAGGGCTTTAGGGTTTACGATGTTGATGGCAAGGGTCAATGTTTAGGCGATAAACCCTAAACCCTAAACCCTAAACCCTAAACCCTAAACCCTAAACCCTAAACCCTAAACCCTAAACCCTAAACCCTAAACCCTAAACCCTAAACCCTAAACCCTAAACCCTACGGAAGCCCTGAGCTTCCCAGGAGGTTGGCAAGGCCCTGGTCACTCGCGTCTCGCCGGAAGGGCGGGAGGCGCGGACGCTGTACGAGGCCTGGTTTGACCTCACTGTGAAATTCTGCCAGAACCCTAATAAACCCTGAACCCTAAACCCTAAACCCTAAACCCTAAACCCTAAAGCCTAAACCCTAAACCCTAAACCCTAAACCCTAAACCCTAAACCCTAAACCCTAAACCCTAAACCCTAAACCCTAAACCCAAACCCTAAACCCTGAAGCCATGGTATGGGGTTCGGAAATTGTGGACCTAGGACCCCTGTAGTACTCTACTCCTGCTCTGCTTAGTTTTTTTCATTTTTCGGGTTTGTGTGATGCTTCGGATCCTCTCGGTGGACGCCTATTCCCTTTTTGTTTCGGGCCAACTTCCCTTCTAAACCTCAAGCCAAAGATATCTTTTCTTTTCCTAAGTTGCCCTAAATATAGGGTCTTGAGGGGCGAGGGTTCATGAGGTGGGGAAGTCGGGGAAGTAGGCAACTAACGAACCCTCGGGAAGCTTATGGAGCAGTAGTGGAGAGTATTGGGGGCTACCCTAGACCCTAAACCCTAAATCCCTAAACGCTAAACCCTAAACCCTTCATTGGGCTCTTGACCCTCCATCAACATCCCCAAGCTTTCTAGTCGACGGTTCAGGTCGTTGACAGCTACCCGCTTCCTCCCCCTGCCTCGGCAGCGCCCTGGCCCGGGAGGGTTTATAACTTTTTACACCGAGGGCTCAAGGCTTACGGTCTTAGGGCGACAGCTTAGAGTTATTCGGGAATTCAGGTACCTTGAACGCCCTAAACGAACCGCTGCAACAGCATCCTCATCCTCATCCTCATCATCCTCATCATCCTCATCATCCTCATCATCCTCATCATCATCATCATCATCAAGATTAGGAAGCTATGCCCAAACCTTAAGAGTTGAACGAGAAGAATGTAGCGCTCGTGTTTTGCACAGTTGATGCTTGGGTTTAGGTGTGAGGGTGCCTGGCTGAGAACTGAGTTCTTGCACCTGCCAGAACCTGCCGCGGCAAATGGGGGGGGGTTTCCGAAAGTAGGGGTGCCTTGGTTGGGGTCCTTAGTCCTTACTAGAAGGGAATCCTACTATTTGGGGACCTCTACTAAGGGTTCCTGATCTTCGTAAGCCCCCAAATAGCTTGCCAAGGATCAGAGGCTGACGCTGCTCAAGATTCGGCTCCTCACCGGCCGTACACATCAGAGCCTGGGCAGGGACTTGGCACTTGGGTGTCCCTAAGCCCTGAACTCTAAACCCCAAACCATATATATATATATGTATACATGTTTCTAGCATGCGTATGGTCTAGCTCAAGCTTTGGGATGTTCCCCCCAAAAAGTCACAGTCCTTAATAAGGATTCTAGTACCCCCCGATGAGAATCCCTACCAGGGGCTGTTAGTGTAAGGGGTAACATCCCACCTCGGGCTTGTCAAGGTTTAAAGGTTTCGCGTTTAGGGGTACCTGGTGTTTAGGGTTTATAGGGTTTCGGGTTTCGGGTTTAGGGTTTAGGGTGATGGGAAGATTCGAGTGGGATTTGTCTCCAAGCTGTCTGGCTTAGGTTGATGTGTTGATATTACCCCTGAACCCTCAACCCCAATCAGGCATCGGTAAAGCAACAGGCAGTGCTTTCGATCTATGGCACAAGTACGTGCCCGTTATTCTGCAAGTTGCCGAACCCCTAAACCCTAAACCCTAAACCCTAAACCCTAACCCCTAAACCCTAAACCCCAAACCCTAAACCCTAAACCCCAAAGGGCCATAGGTTCAGCCCGAAGAAGCCGTCCCAGAGTCCTGACCCCAAACCCGCTTGGGCTTAGGGCTTAGGGCTTAGGGCTTAGTAACTTGGCTGAGGGGTGAGGGCTGAGGGTTTAGGGTTTAGGGTTTTGGGTTTAGGGTTTAGGGGGTGCCTGTCTGGCACTCACATGACCTGAGGATCCGCGTGCACCTCGCCAGCATCGGCCAGCCACTGGTGGGCGATCGCAGCTCTCCTTTACTAAGGCAGTATGAAGGCTGGGTCTTACTTGTAGGGTTTCGGGTTTAGGGTTTAGAGTTTAGGGTTTAGGGTCTCACTTTTTGGGTTCAGGGTGTGTTTTCGGTTGTAGGTTGGGTAGCTATACAACTATCTTATGAAGGGTACCATGAACCCTGCGTAGAAGTCTCTTACTTGAGCTCAGGAGCCTCAACAGCTGCCAACGTTAGGGCAATAGATCTTTTCGGAGGTTTATATATATATATATGTATATATATATATATGTATACATACATATCTATATACATGTCTTGCCCATAGTTCATATGCCCTTGCATACGTATGACATCAAGTAGGCCCGCAGACTATGCAAGCAGAGAACTTGAGGATTGCCATCGGCCGTATTTACGGGATACAGCTGCCACTTTCTGAAGTTGCGATGCATCTTTGCCCTAAACCCGATACTACACCCTATAGTTCCCGTAAGCCCGAACTTTCCTGTGGCTCCTGCATGCATGGAAGTTGTCAGTGGCATTCGTCGAGTAGGGCTTGTCCTCGACCGTACACACCCCGAGATAGTACAGGAGACGCGGTAACTTCCAGTCATATCCCCTTGTCGTTCACACAAAGGCTATATTGCCTAGTCACCTGAAATCACAATTCTAATTACGCCTTTCCATGCCCCCTATCTCCTACTCCCCCCGCCCAAGATTCCTCTCGCATGGGGCCCAACCAAAACTCTCCCGGTTTGGATTGGGACCATCTTGGAGCTTGATTTGGGGGTTTTGGGGCGCTTCGGGCAGGAGGTATAGGACTTGAAGCTTCGTGGAGTAGACTTCGCGCCAGCAAACCCTGTATGTCTCCCAGGCACGTATGGCAATCGACAGGGTTTCCCATGCGCGCGGATGTTCCTTCACTGCCGGAAGGCAAGGGGGGGCGCATGTCGGGCTCTGGCAGTATCTCTTTCTTTCTCCAGTCTCGAGGGGGGTAACCCTAAACCCTAAACCCTAAACCCTAAACCCTAAACCCTAAACCCTAAACCCTAAACCCTAAACCCTAAACCCTAAACCCTAAACCCCCTAAACCCTAAACCCTAAACCCCCTAAACCCTAAACCCTCAACCCTCAACCCTAAACCCTAAACCCTAACTAAACCCCTAAACCCTCGACTCCAGGTCTTGAAGACCCTGTAAACACTAAGCCTCGATGGATTTGGGGCTTAGGCTAAGAGTTCACACTGCACCGTAAAACGCGTACACCTTTGAAATCCTGAACTCAACCCTAAACCCGAAACCCTAAACCCGAAACCCTAAACCCCAAACCCTAAACCCTAGAACCCTAAACCCTAACCCCTAAACCCTAAACCCTTGTCTTCAGGTCTCTTTTCGAAACTTTGAGGGGAAGGTCCTGGAAGCTGTGGCGCAGCTGCCACACGAGCTACAAGAGCTCCTGGCCGCCCTGGAAAAGAGCCGTCGCCGTTCGATCCTTGCATGGGGGTTTAGGGTTTAGGACTTAGGGGTTCGGGGCTAGGGGTTTCAGGGTCAGGGGTTCATGGGGTGTCCCCGGAAATCATCCCCGTGGAATACACACAGTATTCTCGGCAAGGGGCTTGTAACCTCGGCCGTGGTACGATTCCTAATCCCCAAACCCTCAAACCCCCCAAACCCCCCCCCCCCCCAAACCCCAAACCCCCAAACCCCTCTGGTGCGCAGGTCTACCAGATGATCGGGAACTATGGTGCGCTAAGCATGACTTGCCGAAGACTCGGTGGAGCAAGGGGGGGCAGTGCAGGTTTACACTCGACCCCCGACTACCCTCAATGGAGGCATGAGTAGAAGGTAGACAGGGACAGTAGGGCGGGTAGGTTAGGGGGAGACCAGGAAGAGTTCGGGGGTTTCTTGTGGCACAGGTAGCTTGGGGGGTGGGGGGGAAGTCGCTGAAAGGGTTTCTAGAGATTATCCTGGGTTCGGGTTTCAGGTTTTCCGGGTGTAGGGTTTAGGGTTCGGGTTTCGGGTTTGGGGCTTCGCGTTTGGGGTTTAGCGGTACCTGAAGAATCCCAAGCACACTTTTGGTTTGGTGGGTTCTGGGTGTTTAAGCTCTCCCCACCCCCACTCTAGGTTCCGAGCTGTTTGGCCACGATGCGGTTCCGCCTGAGCAGGTGCCAAAAGCCGAAGCCAAGATCAACTTGTTTGCTTGTTTGTGTGTGTGAGGGGAGGGGGGGCCGGGTTTGGGGCTTGGGGTGTGGGGTTTGGGGTTTGGGGTTGAGGGTTCAGGGTTGAGGGTTTAGGGGTGCAGGGTTTAGGGTTTACAGGGCTTTAGGCTTTTTCGGGTTTGAAGATCACCTTCTTTGTAAAAAATGGGTGTAGGGCTTCAGGGGTATAGGGCTTGGGAGTTTGGTTTTTGGCGTTCAGGGTGGAGGGAAGGTCAGCGCTTGGTTGTAGAATGGTTCTCCGGACAGCCTGTTCTGGCAACTCCTTTGTGGATTCCAGGTTCACATGTGGGTATTTCCCACAATGCTATAGGTACCCCTAACCGCCCCCCCCCCCCCCCCCCCCCCCCCCCCCCCCCCAAATACTCGGTGCCCCTGTTCCGTGGTTCTGCTAAGCCTTCAAGCCTCGTTGAGCCTTAGATCCTGCAGCCGAAGCCTGAGCCCTGTTCCCTGGACCCAAAGTCCTACAGACCCTAAGCCCTGAAGCTGAAGCCCTACACCCTCAACCCTAAACTCGAAGCGTCCAAGCACCCTAAACCCTAAACCCTAAACCCTAAACCCTAAACCCTAAACCCTAAACCCTAAACCCTAAACCCTAAACCCTAAACTCTAAACCCTAAACCCTAAACCCTAAGCCCTAAGCCCTAAGCCCTAAGCCCTAAGCCCTAAGCCCTAAGCCCTAAGCCCTAAGCCCTAAGCCTAAGCCCTAAGCCCTAAGCCCTAAACCCTAAACCCTAATCCCTAACCCTAAACCCTAAACCCTAAGCCCTAAGCCCTAAGCCTAAAGCCCTAAGCCCTAAGCCCTAAGCCCTAAACCCAAACCCTAAACCCTAAATAAAGTGCCCAGAATCTGGCGGGAAGGCGAGCAGCTGCCTCATCAGCATGCTGGACCGGCGGGAGTTGCCGACGCCCGAGGGATGTGGGGGGGGGGGGGGGGGGGGGGGTTTGGAGGGTTTAGGGTTTAGGGGTTATTCCTTTCTTCCGGCCATAAGCCCTAAACACTGAACCCGAAGCCTTCAACCCCAACCCTAAGCCCCGACAACCCCTAAAGCCCAAACCCCGAAACCCTAAACCCCAAGCTGCCACTTGGCAAATCTGCAGCACAGCGCACCTCGAGCAGCCATGATTTTCACCCTTTTCCGAGCCTCACGATGGGCCACAAGCGGTTTGGGTTTGGGGTTTAGGGTTTAGGTTTAGGAGTTTAGGTTTTAGGGTTTTGGGGTTTCGGGGTTAGGTTTCAGGGTTTAGGGTTTAGGGTTTACGGTCCGACTGGACCTTGACGAGGGCACGCGACCAGAGGGCCTGCATGGCCACTGACGGGAGGCAGAGAGGCCTTTCCCTACCCCCCAAAATGAAAATAACAATAAAATAAGCCCTGACCTAAACTTGCCCTAAACCCCAAACCCTAAACCCTAAACCCTAAACCCTAAACCCTAAACCCTAGATGCCCCGACTTCTCAAACCTGAACCCCAACCCTTCCCAGCTCCACGTCTCCCAGACCCCCGACCCTTAAAGCCACTGAACCCTCATCTTCAGCGCAGGGTTTCTCTAGTTTTTTGCAAGAGGCCTCACGGGATTCAACGGCCGCAGGGTGCTTACAGGAAGGGTTTAGTGTCTCGGGCCCAAGCCTGGTCCCTCCTTCCCCAAAAGGCGATGGCCTACTCGCACGGGGATATTGAAAACTAGGGGGTCGGCGGGTTTTGCAAACCCTTAGACCCTGAACCCTGACACTAGGGGAGGCCCTAGACCCTGAACCCGACACCCGAGACCCTAAACCCTAAACCCTACACCCTAAACCCTAAACCAAACCCTAAACCCAAACCCTACACATCCAAAGACCGCTTTTTTCTTGGACGGCTGAGGCCTCCGATGTTGATGGACGCCATGGCCAGCGCGATGGAGGTAATGAGGGTTGTGGAGTTCAGTGTTTGGAGTTGGGATGTTCCCCATTAATACTAACAGTCCTTAATGGTGATTGTAGTAGGGGGGTACTAGAATCCCCATTAAGGACTGTTAGTATGAGGGTGAACATCCCAGGCTTGGAGTTTGGACTCAGTTCTTTGGTGGCCTTCTAGGTTTCGAGTTGGGGTTGAAGGACCTCTTGTATGATTGAAAAGCCTTTGTAGAAAGTTTCCCACTTCTGGGGGTTGGGTCCAGGAAAGCTGCGCCTTTCCGGGCTTTGAGGCGTGTGCAGTGGCTGCCGGGTCGGGCTGCACGATTGTGGGATGCCCCCCTGAACCCAAAACCCTAGAAGCCCCCTTGCTAGACGCCAGCCTGCGAAACTTGCTAAAGACCTCTCAACCACAAAGCCCTCTAACTCTAACCCTACAACCCATCCCGAGAGCGCTCCGAGCAGGATCCAGATCAGCTCTCTGCGATTTTCGGGCCTGTCCTGAACCAGGCCTACTTGGGGGGGAAACCACAAGTGCTTAGAGTTTGCAGTTCGGCCCCAGAGCCCACAGGACCCTGAGCCCCGAAAATCCCTGACCCTAAGCCTTAAAACCCCTAAACCAAACAACCCTCAATCCCTAAACCCGAACTAGACCCAAAAACGTTGCTTCAGAGACCCATGGGGGCATGCTTGCAGAGCAATCCCTCATGCCAAGCCTTAGTAAGGGCATCCCCAAGGTGAGGGTTTAGGGTTTACGGTTTAGGGTTTAGGGTTTAGGGTTTAGGGTTTAGGGGTTAGGGGTTAGGGGTTAGGGTTTAGGGCTTGAGGGTTGTGGGGTCTAAAGGGGGTTTAGGGCTTTTAGGGTTGTCGGATCTCTGGTTTTAGGGCTTCAGGGTTGCAGGGTTCAGGGTAAAGGCGCAGGGAACACAGCAATTCGAGTGGCCTGAGCCCCTCCTCCCAGACTCTCAGACCCCGAGAATTGCCGCAGTTTCCCCAAAAGCCCTGAACCCTAACTAAACCCTAAACCCTAAACCCTAAACCCTAAACCCTAAACCCTAAACCCTAAACCCTAAACCCTAAACCCTAAACCCTAAACCCCCAACCCTAAACCCGAAACCCTAAACCCTATTGAGCCCTATATTCCCTCATTCCTGTCTCCCGTCTGAAATCTCATGCAATTTCAAACTCGAGGCCCCAACAATGGCGCCCCAAGCCCTGACCCCTCTGTGAACTCGTTAGGGTTTAGGGTTTAGGGTTTAGGGTTTAGGGTTTAGGGTTTAGGGTTTAGGGTTTAGGGTTTAGGGTTAGGGTTTGGGGTTGGGGTTTTAGTGCAAAGCCGGAACCCCGAGACTTGATGAAAGCCTGGAACGCCCTCAAACCCTAAGCCCCAAAATCCTTAACCCCCCTGGTTCTTCGTAGGGAATGAGGGGAATGAGGTACCCTATATATACCCTTTTAGGGATTAGATAGGGTACCTCATTCCCTCCCTACTAAGAGCCAGCCAGCTAAGAGGTGTGCCAGCGACTGAAGGGCCGCAATCTGGTTGACCAGAAACTCGAGGAGTTCCACGCCAAGGGGCTGCGTTTGGGGGCTGAACTTGGGGGTTCGGGGCCTAAGGACCCGTAGAAACCCAAAATCCTAAAGCCCTAAAAGCGTCCTAAAGCCCTGAAGGCCCTCAAGCCCGAAAACCTAAGCCCACATAAACCCTGGAAGGCTAAATTGCTAGTCTAGTAGACTAGGGTTCAGGAAATGGGTTTGGGGCTCAAGGGGTTCGAGGGGGAGGGGCCAAGGAGGGGGGAAACCTATGGGGGCTAAGGGGGTTGTGGACAGAAGCGAATCACTTGAGAGTTAGCAAGAACAACCATCGGCACACAAGGTTAAAAGCTGGTGATCATGATGTGCGAAACCATCTGAGCTAATGAAGTGATCTAGGGTCGAGGGCTTTCAGGACAAACGCCTTACATACCCTAAGCCCGAAACCCTAAACCCTAAATCCTAAATCCTCAACCCTAACCCAGCATCCCACGCTCAAAGGCTTGAGAATGTGCGCGCCCGTCGCATGCCGGCCCAACAGGGACACAGCTAGATGAGGCCTCGATGCCCGAATCCAGATCCCTCCTTCGGATTCCCCGAAACCCGAAGCCCGAAGCCCCAAGCACCAAACATAGTGCTCAACAAAAGATGTGAAGAGACTACTCCTCGTCCACCAGAAGCCACAGCGCCCCCTCCCTCAAAAAAAAAACATATAAGGTGTCTGGGCTCCTCTTTATGTGGTAAGTCCTACAGTCTTGAAGCCCTGAAGCTAAACCCTCACCGGCACAGGTCTACTTTAGAAACCCTAAGCCTTACACCCCTAAACCCTAAACCCTAAACCCTAAACCCCTCAAACCCTAAACCCTAAACCGCTCAAACCCAAAACCCCTCAAGTCCCGCAACTTCTGTCGCCATGTGCAGTGGCTCAGCCCCCGATGGTGGGCCCAAGGCCCGAACGAGGGGGTCGTCAGCGTGGTGGGGCTCTTGGGGTTTAGGGTTTAGGGGTTTAGGTCAAGGACCCTAAACCCTAAACCCTAAACGCTAAACCCTAAACTCTAAACCGACAGCTGCAATAGATCCCCCACACTGTGCCATACCCGTAAGGCCCTGGTTCTTAGTAGGGAATGAGGGAATGAGGGAATGAGGGAATGAGGGCCCTTATATGTACCCTTTAAGGGATTATACAGGGCCCTAATTCCCTCATTCCCTACTAAGAACCGGCCAGGCAAGTGGTTAGGGTTCCGGGTTCGGGGGTGCAGGGTCTAAAGGGTTGGGGTGTAGGGTTCGGGGGTGTCCGGGTGCAGGGTGTGGGGTGTTGGGCTGCCCTAAACCCTAAACCCTAAACCCGAAACTCGAAACCCGAAACCCGAAACCCTAAACCCTAAACCCTAAACCCTAAACCCTAAACCCTAAACCCTGAACCCTAAACCCTAAACCCTAAACCCTAAACCCGGCCTTCCAGAGCGAAGTCGTGAGGTTGGCAAGCGGAAAGCTTTCCAGCCCTGCGACGACGTCGACCCCTCACTGAAGCTGGTCCGGCGACTCGCCAGACCCATGTTAGGGTTTAGGGTTTAGGGTTTAGGGTTTAGGGTTTAGGGTTTAGGGTTTAGGGTTTAGGGTTTAGGGTTTAGGGTTTAGGGTTTAGGGTTTAGGCTAATAGTGCTTTAGGGTTCTAGGGCTTTAGGGTTTTAGAGTTTAGGGTTTTTGGTTTAATTTTTTTTGGGCTTTCGGGTTTTGGGGTGTTAGGGTGTTAGGGAGTTAGGGTTTAGAAGTGTAGGAGTTGCCTACATGGTCCATAGGCCGAAAGAGTAGGTAAGATTCAACCCAAGCAAGACCAGACCTGGCCCTCCTCCCTAAACCCTTTCTACCATATGTATTTAAACCTTAGCTGAATTTCAGAATAAGGCCGCTTCATTTTCAGAATAAGGCCAAGGATCAGGCCAAAGGCGAATTCAATTTCAGAATGTTTCCGCTTTATTTTCAGAATAAGGCCGCTTCATTTTCAGAATCAGGCCGCCGTATATTCAGAATAAGGCCGCTTTATTTTCAGAATAAGGCCGCTCGTTCTTCGGAATTTGGCCGTGTTTTGCTTTCTCAATGTTATGGGATTCTCTGGGTGGGTGGGTGGGTGGGTGTTATATCAGAGCCGTAAATGAAGCTTTACCACAAAACTGCTCGACCCGGAGTGCTGAACCCTAAACCCTACACCCTAAAGCCCTAAAACCCTAAAACCCTAAAGCCCTAAAACCCTAAAAACCTAAAACCCTAAAACCCTCAAACCCTAAAACCCTCAAACCCTAAAACCCTAAAACCCTACCCTAAACCCCTCATGTCATGGAAGCTCCTGCGGGCCCAAGCATTCCCCTACAAAAGGTACCCTCGCCGCCCTTGCGGCTTGGTTATAGGATTCACAGGGGCTCAGCTTAGGGTTCAGGGTTCTAGGGTTTAGGGAAAGTTTAGGGCTAGGGTGTAGGGTTTAGGCGGTTTAGGGTTTAGGGTTTAGGGTTTAGGGTTTAGGGTTCAGGGCTCCCACATCCCCGCACCCTACTCCCTTAAACATCTTGTTCCCCAGGTCCGCCTCAGCAAACCTTGCGAAGCAGCCACCTGGCTGATAAGTTACCGGGGAGCTCAGGGTTTCGGATATAGGATACAGGGGGTTTAGGGTTTAGGGTTTAGGGTTTAGGGTCTAGGGTTTAGGGTATAGGGTTTGGGGTTGGTTTAGGGTTGGGAAGGTTCTTACGGGACAGCGAGCCGCGGGGCGTGACCCAGCTCGAGCTACTACTCGTGGAAGTTTGCCGAGTCGGGCCTAGGAGACACAGAGAGCCCAGGGGTGGGTATTAGGGTTTAGGGTTTAGGGTTTAGGGTTTAGGGTTTAGGGTTTAGGGTTTAGGGGAGCACTGCGGGAAGTTTACAGCGATGGGTGCCGAGACTTGAACGCCTCATATAGCACTGGCGATGTGAGACACACCCTGACCCCCTAAAGTTTGCCCTAATCCACTCCTTAAGAGACCTGAAGCCTTCGAGATTTTGTGGGTTTGAATCATAATGACCGCATATGGGATTCTTAGGCAACTTGCAAGAAAGCAGGTTTTGAACCCCGCAAGGTTAACCCTTGCCCCCCGCAATCGACATTGTCAGAGACCAGGCTCTGGGGGTTCAGGGATCCTACACACCCGCACGAGTGTCGCCCTTTTCTGAGACTCCGCGGCGCCCCAGCCGACCCAAACACTTGCCAAGAACTGGGGTGAAGGCTTACTTCCTGTGTTTTGGGCAAGAGGAGAAGTGCTCATGTAGGGTAGAGAGCAGACGACTAAGCCCTCCGACAGAACCGGGCGTCCCCGCGCCGTCGCGCGGGCGGCGCTCGACGCGCTGGGTGAGGACCGCGAAGGTTACGCTAACGGTTTCGGGCTCAGGGTTCCTAGCTATAGGCACAGTGCACCTGAACAAGCAGAGCAAAACATTCCCACATTCCCCCCTCAGTTTGGTTAAGACGATCTTCGCCTAAACCGCAACCTGCGTTCCAGGACCGCGACCAAGCATGCCGACTCCTCCTCTCCGGGCTGGCGCTGGCTGTGCTGGACAGCGAGCCTTGCGAGGCGAAAATTCGTGGGGGGATCCTGGGACTGGGAGTTGGGTTATTTAGGGTTTAGGATTCAGGGTTTCGGGCTTAGGGTTTGACGGTTTAGGGTTTGAGATTGTCGGGTGTGATGGTTTAGGGTCTGAGGGTTCATAGGGTTGCGACGTTTGCTTTTCGGGGGTTGAGTTGGGGCTTTCTTCATTGTCTTCGTTTGCTTCTCTTCTTGTCTGGCCAGACTGGAGCCTACAGACCCTAAACCCTAAACCCTAAACCCTAAACCCTAAACCCTAAACCCTAAACCCTAAACCCTAAACCCTAAACCCTAAACCCTAAACCCTAAACCCTAAACCCTAAACCCTAAACCCTAAACCCTAGGCATAGGCATCAACAAAAAAAACATCAAAAAGAAAAAGAATAGGGATCAAAAAACAATAATAAGGATCAAAAAAAATAAGCCATCCGGCCCACCTGCGTGGTCCTCTTGTCCCGTGGTCCTCTGGTCCCGTGGTCCTCTGGTCCCGTGGTCCTCTGGTCCCGTGGTCCTCTGGTCCCGTGGTCCTCTGGTCCCGTGGTGCTCTGGTGCCGTGGTCCGTGGTCCCCTGGTCCTGTGGTCCCCTGGTCTTGTGGTCCCCTGGTCCTCTGGTCCTCTGGTCTGCTTGTCTGTCCGCCTGGTCCTGCGGGTCCTAGGTGTATAAATAAATAATTATATTAAACAAATAAATAAAAATCAATAAATATAAATATAATATACACACACGATAGTGAAGGTCAACGTGTGTTTATATCTATGTATGTATGTATGTATGTATGTATGTATGTATGTATGTATGTATGTATGTGCATATATATATATATATATACATATTACAGAATTCACATTACTATATATATACATATTACATAATTCACATTACATTACACATTACCTATTGTCTATTATACATTATATATTATATTGTATATTATGTATTATGTATCATGTATTATGTATTATGTATTATGTATTATGTATTATGTATTAATTATGTATTATGAAATGTATATTATATGCTTTATATTATGTATTCTGTATTATTTATATTATGTAATCTGTATTATGTATTATGTATTTCGTATTGTATTATGTATTATGTATTATGTATTATGTATTATGTATTATGTATTATGTATTATGTATTATGTATTATGTAGTGTATATTTATTAGAGACGTGTTTACTATATTCGAAGCCGGATATATATATGGACATATATCTATAGATATACATAAAATACGAAATAGCAAATACTTAAAGACGCCGAAAAAATCTGCAGGGCCAGGAGTTTTAAAACTCCTCTTGTGGCTAAGCAAGGAGTTTTAAAACTCCTGGCCCCGAAGATTGAAGATTGAAGATTCCCCAGAACTCTTTCCAGGAATCTTCAATCTTCAATCTTAGGGGCCGGGAGTTTTAAAACTCCTCTTGTGGCTAAGCAAGGAGTTTTAAAACTCCTGGCCCCGAAGATTGAAGATTGAAGATTCCCCAGAACTCTTTCCAGGAATCTTCAATCTTCAATCTTAGGGGCCGGGAGTTTTAAAACTCCTCTTGTGGCTAAGTAAGGAGTTTTAAAACTCCTGGCCCCGAAGATTGAAGACTGAAGATTCCTGGAAAGAGTTCCGGGGAATCTTCAATCTTCAATCTTCAGTGGCAGGAGTTTTAAAACTCCTCTCGTGGCTAAGCAAGGAGTTTTAAAACTCTTGGCCCCGACAATCTTCAATCTTCGGTGGCAGGAGTTTTAAAACTCCTCTCGTGGCTAAGCAAGGAGTTTTAAAACTCCCGGTCCTGAAGATTTTTTCTTATGGTTAAAAATATATTCCGCAACTCTAGGCCATGGTATTGTATATTACGCCACTGAAAGTGGTTCCAGTATGTATGCGTTGAATCGACTCAATTTCGACGCGCAGCTTGGGCTATAAACGCGCAGTTTCCAGCCATAGCATACGCGTACTCCTCATATAAGGTTTGAAGGTTATGTGTTTCAGTTTAATTGCAGGCTTAGGTTGAAAATCATTTATCTTAAGCCCTAAACCTTTAAACCTTAACCCTATAAAGTTTCCGGGCTGCAGGTTTCGGTTTAATTGCACGTCAAGGGTTAACTACCAATATCTTAAACCCTAGACCTTGAATTAACCCATAAAGTTTAAGGGTTTCGGTGTACTGGCAGGTCAAGGTTTAAATGCCTATATCTTAAACCCTAAACCTTTAAATCTTAACCCTACAGGGTTTAAAGGTTAAAGAATTAGGCTTAATTATTTGTTTCATTCTAAGGGTTTCGGGGCTTTTCTTTAAAACCCTAAACCCTGGATCGATAGGGGTTTAGAGTGCCTATATCTTAAACCCTATACCTTTAAACCTTAACCCTGCAAGGGTTAAAGGTTTCGCGTTTCCGTTGAGTTGTAGGTCAAGGTTTACATGTCTAAACTTAATCCTAAACCTTTAAACCTTAACCCTATAGGGTGTTTAAAGGTCCAGGGTTGAGGTTTAATTGCTTAACCCTACGTTAACACCCTAAACCCTGGACCGATAGGGTTTTGGAGAATAAGCCTGACAACACCCTTAAACAAACGCAGAACGCGCAGCGGAGTGAAGTAGAGGGGAGGGGGGGGGGAGGGGGGTGGTGGGGAGTGTTTTTTGGTCCTGCTTATTTTGGAAGACCGACCCCTGGCACCCTCTCCCCTTTTAATTAGAAGCAAACTAAGTCCTTATAAGCAAATTTGTTGTGTTGTGGAGATTGAGTACACAGATTACATGCCAACTCATACATATAAAGCCGATACACAGTATGAATATGCATGTGAGTATTGCAACATTACGACGACTTCAATCTTTAGTTTGAGGGTCGATTCAAAACTGAATCGGCCGATTCAAGTTTGAATCGGACATATTTCATCATTATATTGGATCCCGCTCTTTAGGACTTTTTGGCGAGCAGGATTTAGGGAATAGGCGCTGAAGTGGGGAGCATCCCAAAGCTTAGTTCCCAAATCCTATTTTCTAAGGGAGCCCAAACCTTATCGCTAAGGCTTTAGCGTTAGCGAGAAGATTTATTGAGCAAGGTGGGCTTTTGTATGAGTTAGGGGGGGGGGTCTCATTTTTGGGGTTTTAAGGCTATTTTTTAGGTTCCCTCTTTAGGATTTGGTGACTCCCTCCCACCCCCCCTTCCCCAATAGGATTTAGGGAGTAAAATTAAGAGAATAAGATTGAGGGATCCTTCTTTGTTGACTTTAGCGATAAGATCTACTGAGCAAGGTTCTTTATATAATAGGATTTAGAGAGTAAAGCTAAAGGAATGCTGTTTAGGATTTAGGGGATCTCCTCTGTAGGATTTAACCCCCCCTTAAGCAATAGGATTTAGAGAGTAAAACTAAGGGAATGCTTTTTAGGATTTAGGGGACCTCCTCTTTAGGATTTAGCCCCCCCCCCCTTTAGGCGGCCTTAGCGAGTTAATTTCAGGGAACCAGATCTAGGGATCCCGATAAGATTTTATCCGAGCATCTGTTTAATTGGTGGGACCCCCGGCCCACCGCAATAAGTAAGAAAGGCAGGGCACTGCAATAATGAGACCATGGCAATGTATGCATTCTCTATTAAGCACATTAGGAATATATTGTAGTTTCGACGATCCAGACTGCAGCTCAGAAATCAAAAACGAAGCCTGCAGACAGATTTTTGAACCCCCCCGGAAACAATTCTTTCAATGTGGCGGTATTTCCCCATATGGAAACCCCCGTAATGGAAAGCAGTCTCACAGCCGGATTTTCGACGAAAAATATTTCTTTAAATGTGGAGGTAGTAATTCCCTTTTGGAATTCAGCGGCTCTCCTCTTCAGAATTTCAAGACTTCCCTCTTTAGGGCTTTGGGAAAAGACTTAGGGAGTAAAATCATGGGAATATGATTTAGGGACCCCGCTCTTTAGGATTTAGCGAGAAGATTTAGTGAGCCATTTAGTGACCCACCGCCCCCCCCCCGCCCGCACCAGATTTAGGGACTGAGGGAATATGATTCAGGGAATACGATGTAGGGATCCCGTGCTTTCGGACTTAGCGAGCAGGATTTTGGGAACAGGCTTCGTTTTTTCGGAAATAGGGGTTTATGCAATAGAAAATTGTGCGAATAAGGTTAAAGGATTTAGGAAGCCGGTCTCCATTTTGAAGCGTTTTGGTGTCACGCAAGTGTAGAAAATTAGAAAACGGTAGGTTTTGGAGGGGGGGGGTAGCATATATATATATATATATATATATATTATATATATATATATATATATATATATATATATATATCGCATATGGTTATATGTCATATATTGCATATCATATATTGTATATTGTATATTATATACTGCATATAATGCAGAATATAAAGTATATAACATAGAATATATACATAATATATACATAATAGACAATATATAAAATATATAAAATTATTATTAATAAATAATTAATTAGTTTATTATTTATTATTCATTATATAGTATATTTTATATATTATGTAGTATGTATTATATATTGTTCTTTGAAGCCATTGGAATGCAAAGAAAATGGAAGTTTTTTTGCTTAAAACATGTAGAAGTAGAGTTTTTCCGATGGAAACATAGAGATAATCGAGGATTTCTCATGAAAACGTGATGACAGTAGACGTTTTCTTGTGGGAGTATGAAGAAATAGAGGCTTTCCCATTGAAAGATCGAGAAAATAGAAGGTTTTCCAACCACTACCACCACTTCTACGCATCGTGCGAACATTGTTTGCAAATGGGGGGGGCTGCGCCCCCCCCAAACCCCCCGCTGTTTTTTTAAGCTGTGCAAAGCGTGCTGCAAAGCCAAGTGGGGGGGGGGGGCTGCGCCAACCCCAACCCCCCCGCGTTTTTATCAAGCTGTGCCACTGCAAAGCGTGCTTTATGAATCTTGTTGAAGCCATTGGGATACTAAAAAGTTTAAGTTTTTCTTAAAATATATGGAAATAGATGGGGGAACCCCCCCCCCCCAACCCCCCCCCCCAACCCCCCCTCCCCCCGCTGTATTCCAAGAGGAAAATTGTTTTTTTGTTGATGCTTATTTGTTTTTTTTGATCCCTTGGGACTATTTTTTTTGATGCTTATTTTTGTTGCTCCTCACCCTAAACCCTAAACCCTAAACCCTAAACCCTAAACCCTAAACCCTAAACCCTCAACCCTCAACCCTCAACCCTAAACCCTAAACCCTAAACCCTAACCCTGAACCCTGAACCCTACAGTGCCCTAACACCTCTAACCCCCCCGCCCCCACCGCCTATTGTTCGAAGCTCCCCAAACCCTGCAACACCCTGAGCCCCAAGACCCTAAACCCTAAACCCTAAACCCTAAACCCTAAACCCCCAGGTTGCCGGTCGTGTTTTTAGCTTTGTGCGCTATACTCGCCGGCGAGAGGTTGAACCTAAGATTGCCCTCCAAAACCCACATCGGGGATGGGTTAGGGTTTAGGGTTTAGGGTTTAGGGTGTAGTGTTTAGGGTTTAGGGTTTACGGTTTAGGGTTTAGGGTTTAGGGTTTACGGTTTGGGGTTTAGGGTTTAGGGTTTAGGGTTGGGGGCTCTGACTTTATTGCAGGAGAAGTTTAGGGTTTGGGGTTTAGGGTTGAGGGTTTATGTTTACTGAAAGCTCAACGTTATTCAGATTCAGGGCCCCTCGAGACATTCTTTGCAGTTTAGGGTATCAACAAAAAGGGGCATGGTTTACCTTTATTCAGATTCAGGGCCCCTCGAGACATCTATTCTTTGCAGTTTAGGGTACCAAAAAAAGGGGCATGATTTAGCTTCAGCCGTAAACCTTGGGATGTTCCCCCGTATACTAGCAGTCCTTAGTAGGGATTGTACAACCCTGCCCCCCCCCCCCCCCCCCCCTATTATATTGGAGCTGTTAGTACCCTAAACCCTAAACCCTAAACCCTAAACCCTAAACCCTAAACCCTAAACCCTAAACCCTAAACCCTAAACCCTAAACCCTAAACCCTAAACCCACCTAAACCCACCTAAGCCCTGGAAGACAGGTGGAGCTGCTTGCCAAAGGCATCCCGGCCTGGCTAAAGGCCGGTGTTTGTTCCTTTGCGGGCTTGTAGGGGGGGGGGGGTCCCTGACGAAGGGTGTAGGGTTTAGAGTGTAGAGGCCCTAAACCCTAAACCCCAAACCCTAAACCCCAAACCCTAAACCCTAGACCCCAGGCTGTTCGGCTAGGATTCCCAGCAGTGCACTTATCCACTCTTTGAATGGACTCTGGGATGGCAGAGAGGGCTGGGCTTTGTGGCGGATTCCACTCTCTCTCAGCGCCTGGGTCCCTATCATACATAGGGTTTAGGGTCTAGGGTTTGGGGTTTAGGGGTTTAGGGTTTAGGGTCTAGGGTTTAGGGTTTAGGGTTTAGGGGTTTAGGGGTTTAGGGGTTTAGGGGTTTAGGGGTTTAGGGGTTTAGGGTTTAGGGTTAGGAGACCTTCCGATGTGGCCGTAAAGGTGCCGTGTTTCTGGCGTCTCTGGTGGGCTTGCTGGCGCCTAGAGAACAGCGAAGGTCGATATGAGCCCTGAACCCTAAACCCTAAACCCTAAACCCTAAACCCTAAACCCTAAACCCTAAACCCTAAACCCTAAACCCTAAACCCTAAACCCTAAACCCTAAACCCTAAACCCTAAACCCTAAACCCTAAACCCTAAACCCTAAACCCTAAACCTAACCCTAAACCCTAAACCCTAAACCCTAAACCCTAAACCCTAAACCCTAAACCCTAAACCCTAAACCCTAAACCCTAAACCCTAAACCCTAAACCCTAAACCCTAAACCCTAAACCCTAAACCCTAAACCCTAAACCCAAACCCCTAAACCCAAAACCCTAAACCCTAAACCCTAAACCCTAAACCCTAAACCCTAAACCCTAAACCCTAAACCCTAAACCCTAAACCCTAAACCCTAAACCCTAAACCCTAAACCCTAAACCCTACCCTAAGCCCTAAACTTGAACGCCGGATTCTGCCCTCTACCCTTAAGCCTAAACCCGAAAGCCCCAAGCCCTACGCCACTACACCCAACCCAGAACGGGGATCCTTCCACTTGGGCTTCGTAGGGTCCATTGTTTATAGGGTTTAGGGTTTAGGGTTTCGGGTTTGGGGTTTAGGGTTACTGGGCTACCAAGATCCACAAGCCTGTACCTGCACCGAAAATCCAAAACCCCTGCCTCCAGGATGAGGCAGACGACCCCAGCCCGCCGATCCTCAGCGTAGGCTGCCAGGGGGGGGCTTTTCATCGCGAGTCCCGGGAATAGTCAAGGGGTCGGAATAATTACTAAGAGTATTTCCTGAGGGTCCCTTTAGAAGTATACTAGAATGACCTCCAAGACCCTGGTGTCACCAAAAGGCCGCGCGGCCAAACCCTATTCTGATTATTCAGGCCCCTATATTCGGCATTGCCTTCGAACTAGGGCCGGGCCCTTGTGTAAGTAAACCCTAAACCCTAGACCCTAAACCCTAAACCCTAAGCCCTAAACCCTAAACCCTAAACCCTAAGAGGGTTTAGGCAGTGCAGGACATGGGCTGTGGCAGAATTTTCCTGCGCAAGCGGAGGCGGTTGTTGCGGAGGAACAGCCCTGAAACGCTGATGCCCCTACTCCCCTACCCCCAAACTTCGTAGCTAAACCCTATACCCCTATAACCCTAGAAACCCTAAACCCTAAACCCCTAACCCTAAACCCTAAACCCTAAACCCTAAACCCTAAACCCTAAACCCTAAACCCTAAACCCTAAACCCTAAACCCTAAACCCTAAACCCTAAACCCTAGGAGGTGTGTCCATTGTAGGAGTGTTGGGCATAGGGTGGCTCGTCATGGCCCTTGCAGGTCGAAGGATGCTTTGACTTGAGAAGGCCCACACCCTGACGCCTGAAGCTTAGGAGGTTCCCCTCTCACAGCACGGGTGCCCGTCTGTGGTAACCCTAAACCCTAAACCCTTAAACCCTAAACCCTAAAACCCTAAACCCTATTCCCTAAGCCCTAAGCCCTAGACCTTGACCCCTAGCTTAAAACCGTAAACCCTAAACCCTTAAGTGACTGCTCGTTGAGGGGATCTAGGCATGGGAGTAGAGTGCTCTGGCAGGCGCTTTCGATGGCTGCTTCCTCCTGCGTGTGCAGAAGCACCGCCAGGACTGAGTGGGTCGTTGCGGGTTTTTATCGGCACCCGATCATTCTACTGTCAAAACCTTAGACCGACCCTAAACCCCAATAAACCCTAAACCCTCTAAACCCTCTAAACCGTAAAAACCCTAAACGCTAAACCCTCTAAACCCTCAAAACCCTAAAAACCCTAAACCCTAAACCCTAAACACCCGCAACCCTCAACCCTTTTAGAATCCGCCAGGAGCCCCTGCGCCTCTTCGCCCTGGAGCCCGTGGACGTCTGCTTGCTCTCAGCCAAGACCGTGACGGTGGACGAGGCGCCCCGAGGTAGTGTTTAGGGTTTAGGGTTTAGGGTTTAGGGTTTAGGGTTTAGGGTTTAGGGTTTAGGGTTTAGGGTTTAGGGTTTAGGGTTTAGGGTTTAGGATTTAGGGTTTAGGGTTTAGGGTTTAGGGTTTAGGGTTTAGGGTTTAGGGTCAGCAGGACCCCCAGGATGGATCTTCTCTATGGGAAAGGGCAGGTGGGGAGGGGTTCGTTTAGGGCTTTGTTCGGGCTCGGGGCTTTCGAGGCTTTTAGGGATTTTAAGGCTTCCGGGCTTTTGGCTCCAGAGGCTTGACAGGGTTTGGGCTTCAGGGGTGGTAAGTGACCCCCCCCCCCCCCCCCCCCCAAAAAAAAAAAAAAAGTCCTTCAAATGCCCCAAACCCCAGGAGGCCAAGGCTTGGAGTTGTTTAGGATCCCTAAACCCTAAACCCTTTACCAGCAAAACCTGGACCTAAAGCCTAGACCCAAAACCCTAAGCCCAAGACTTCAACGTTAGGGGCCGGTAGGGTTGTAGGGCTGTTGCCAGGCATGGGCAGAGTTAGAGTACGCGGAGGCACCCGGCGTCGATGGCCTCGACAAGGCCCACCCCCCCTCACACTCCTCCTTTTGGGTTTCGGTCTAGTGGGAATGGGGTGTGCCCCAATTCAGGGCCCTGAACCCTAAACCCTAGACCCTAAACCCTAAACCCTAAAACCATGTGAAGGACCATGTAACTACCCGTAGACTAGGGTTGAGGGTCTGGCCCTTGCAGGCTCGTAGCATTCTTCGGGAGTGCAGGCTCGCATAGAGTGCAGAGAACTCGGGGGGTTTAAGGGAGTAGGGTTAGGGTTTAGGGTTTGGGGTTTGGGGTTTAGGGTTTAGGGTTTAGGGTTTAGGGTTTAGGGTTTAGGGTTTAGGGTGTAGGGTGTAGGGTGTAGGGTTAGGGTTTAGGGTTTAGGGTGCAGGTTCAGGGTTTAGGGTTTAGGGTGTTCACTTCTTCTCCTTGCGAGCACCCTCGGTTTCCTAGGCCGCCGGTCTTCGAAACCCTCGAGCACCCCCAAACAGCTCCGAATCCCCAGCGCCACAAGAGGCACGCGAGGATGCCCCAAAACCCCGCCTAAGGCGCCTAAACCCCAGACCCTAAGCCCTAAGCCCTTAAGCCCTAAGCCCTAAGCCCTAAGCCCTAAGCCCTAAGCCCTAAGCCCTAAGCCCCCTAAACCCTCGGCCCCCCTGACGCCAGGGTGTGGTGATCCACTCCTGCTCATTCGACCCAGGACCTGTCCAGGCAGCTGCCTTGGGATTCTTGTATGGGGGTTCATAGGGTTCGTAGGGAGGGGGTTCTTGCCCCCTTGAACCCCCCTCCCTAAAGAACCCTATAATTATTGGGGGGCCTTGCAGGGTTCAGGGCTGAGGGTTTTTTTGCTGCATCAGGGTCTGCGGATTAGGGTTTAGGATTTAGGCTTTAGGGGTTAGGGTTTGGGGCCTGTATGAGGTCTGTTAGAGAACCCCAAAGCCCTAAAACCGCCGCACCCCATCGAGCTTTCCGGTTGGGGCCCCCTGTTTGGAGGTGCCGCTGGATCGCTGTGAGGGAAAGCCTTCGCTGATCCTGGTCAGGGTTGGGCGCTGAGGTCCTGGCTGTTTTCAAGCGCGTTTTCTGGTTTAGGGTTTAGGTTTTTAGTCGTTGCTTGGAGGTTCGTGACGACTTCTGAGTAGGGTTATACAGTACCCAAAGCAAGTCTATATAGCTATAGCTGACCCCACTTGAATTGAAACTCTTCTCTTGATGGCCCCCGAACGTCCAAGTGAGGTTTAGCTGCAGCTTAGCATATTCTCCGAACAATATCGAAGTTGCAATCCCTGAGCCCTGGGCCCTAAACCCTAAACCCGAAACCCGAAACCCGAAACCCTGAACCCTGAACCCTGAACCCTGAACCCTAAACTAAACCCTAAACCCTAAACCCTCAACCCTTCAACTTCCCAAAGCCATGGGGGCCCGGGTTCGCTAGGATCCTGGGTTGCTGGCCTTCTCCCCTGAAGCACCTTCCCCAAAACCCTTAATCCCAAGCCCTGTGTACCCTGTCTACCCTGTAGACCCGGTGTACCCTGTATACCCTAAACCCTAACCCTAAACCCTAAACCCTAAACCCTAAACCCTAATCAGGTCGTCAAGAAGACGAACATCATCGCGCCACCCAACTCCATGTCTCGAGCCCGGAGGCAGCCGTTTGGCAAGTCACACGATTCGGTCTAGTGCTTTAGGGCTTGAGCGTTTTTGAGGGTTTGAGGCTTTAAGGTGTTGGCGTTTTAGGGTTTTTGAGGGTTCAGGTTCCTCAGGGTTTGTGCGGAGGCTTTCGGGTTTGAGGGTTTCAGGGTGTTTTGGAGGGTGAAGAGATGTTTGCCCTGGCAGCTAGCGTCCTGCTCGAGGCCTCTGTGACACGGCTTGCCTATAGACTGCCCACAGTGGAGTTAATGAAGGGTTCTGGCGCAGGTTATCATCACAAGCCCAACAAGAGTCTTGAAGTTACGTCCCCAGACATTCTCCCATGGTCGTACCATACTCACTCCCCCACATACCCTTAAGAGCTTTGTCCCCTCAGAGGCTGCGACTTATGTCTGGGAAGAGAAAGCACATGATCGTTGCGATTCTGGTTCTCAGGGGAAGTATAGACCCTAAACCCTAAACCCTAAACCCTAAACCCTAAACCCTACACCCTAAACCCTAAACCCTAAACCCTAAACCCTAAACCCTAAACCCTAAACCCTATTCTAATTATTGACTTCCCTTTGCGACAGGAGGCCGCGGGAAGCCGCGAAGCGTTCTTCGGGCTTGGCCGAGCTCGCGGAGGCGCCAAAAGCTTTTTGCTTCTTTGTCGCTGCTGTGGGTTTAGGGTTTAGGGTTTAGGGTTTAGGGTTTATGGTTTAGGGCCTATTTGGGGGTTTCCGAAAATAAGGGTACTTTCAGTACCTTCTTGGGGTTTCTATGATACGGGAATCTTATTTGGGGGGCCGTTTCGTAAACCCCCATATACGCCCAGCGTTTGACTAAAGCAGAAACGAATATAACAATGCTGTCCAGATTTGTTCCTTTTTCTATTGTTGCTGTCAGTATCGTACTCGCTGCGTACTCGTATGTGTTTTCATTGATACTTGTATTTTTGATCACGATTATCATGTCTTTGATCATGGTTATAATTGCTATTGCACTCTCACTCGCATGAGTATTTGTAGTCGTCGATTTTGTTCTACTAATGCATCGTTGTCAGTTCTCTATATAAGGTTCAGCATTTCTGCGATTACTGGCGCCTTTTAGCGTTTTGACTGCTTATGTACTTGTTTGTTTTATTTCTTTGGCATTTACTTGTTTGGTGATGATGATGTTTTCTGTCGCTATTGTTCTCATTGTTGTTATGCTGTTTTTGCGATGCGGGGTTTCACAGGATTAGCTACGTGCCCAGACCTCAGTGAATTGGGGTTCAATGGGGCCTCACTATGGCTTACAACCCTAAACCCTAAACCCTAAACCCTAAACCCTAAACCCTAAACCCTAAACCCTAGGGGTTGGTAGAGTTTGTTGCTTAGGCCCTGCGGGTCTGGAGTTGGGCATTTGAGCATGGAGGGGGGGGGGACAGCCCATACCTTTAAGCCTTGAGCCCTGGAAGCTCGGCGGATGTACTTCAGCCCTAAACCCTAAACCCTAAACCAGAAGTTCAGGGCTTATAGATTTAGTGTTTAGGGTTTCTAGGGTTGGGTTGCCTTGTTTAGGGTTTAGGGTTTAGGGCTAGGGGCTAGGATTCTCTTGTTTGGCACGCTGCAGGAGGCGCCGAAACGCTGGCGATACCAACGCCAGTCGCAGATCGGCTCAGGCGCCCAGATAGTCTGTAAAAAGCTCAAGGGTTTAGGGCTTTTTGTTGTGGGTTTAGGGTTTAGGGTTTAGGGTTCAGGGTTTAGGGTTCAGAGTTTAGAGAAATGCTAAGGGGCAGTGGATATTACCTATTTGAGGGTTATTGGGGGGATCCACTCCTCCCCTGAGCACGGCCACCGATTCGGGGTCGGCGGCAGTCCCACATTTGGGGCCCACGCCTCCTTGGCGATGCTCGTCGCGGGGCTGCGCGGCAGAGGATTTTGGAGGAAGAAGCCCGACGACGGGACGCCGCCGCTGCAGCCGCCGCTGCGAAGCAGGCTGCGGACACGCTGGCTTTTCAGATTTGGCTGGAGTCCGCAGTCCAGGCACTCTTGCGATCCTCACCCAGATCCTTCTTCAGCAGCAGCACTTGTTGCAGAAGAGCAACCGACTCCTTCACAGCCAGCAAGAGCTAACGGTGCCAAGACTCAAAACGTACTTGTTCGCACACGAAACCCTAAACCCCAAACCCTACACCCTAAACCCGAATTCATCGGATTTAGGATTTAGGGTTTCTGAGACTCCGAGAAACCCGAGATGGCAACTTCCGCCATCAAGTTCGGCGCTTCATCGGGCGAACCTCGGATCCCTGCCCCTCCCTTGCTATTTGAGTGGAATTTGTTTTTTTGTTTTTTTAGATACATTTTTTTGGGGTTCTGGGTTCCTTGATATGGGTGGTTGTTAAAATGACGATCGTTTTTGGGGTACCCTAAATATTAGGTGCCGTATTCTAATGGGGATCCAAAAGGGACCGTATAGGCAACCAATCCCCCGCAAAACAAAGTGCCATTTTTTATGACATGGTTACCAAGCTACCAGGCCTCACTTAGAAGTACCCCACTTAGGATGACAAGCATCGGTACCATACTTGTAACCCTACCTATAGGCACGCAGGATCTCGCGGGTTCATGGGAGTACCCTGATTAGGGTTACACCCTAAACCCTAAACCCTAAACCCTAAACCCTAAACCCTAAACCCTAAACCTTAAACCGGCTGCCATACTTATAACCCTAGGCTACTTTACTCCAAGTAGGTTCAGGGGTGTAGGGGATGCTTGCCAAAGGTCTTGAGCCCCAAAACCCGCAACCCCGAGCCAGCAAAGCCTACTTGCTGGTTCACGGGTAATTCTAAGTGGGGCT